TGAATATCATTGCAACAAACATGAATTTTGTGATTCCATAAAAAATTAAAAATCCAAGTTAATTTTACAAATATGCTTGAATTTGAACAAAGTTATGTAAAATTGATTTGATTTTAATTAATTTTTGAAAGTCTTAAGGGCGGAAATAAAAGAAAAAAATATATAGAAATTATAGATTTTTTTCGAAAGAAAATTAAAAAAATCTTAGGAGGCTATATTTTGGTATTTAGGCATAACTTTTAATTCCAAACAACTTTTCTCTATAACATTTTGCTGAATTTTCTAAAATAAGGGTACTTTACAGTACCAGCTTTGATATTGTTTGAGCTACCCTGTATGCTGTTTGACTTGCAACCATTCTAAGTGCACCTAATATGATTATGAGACATGCACCAACTTTTGGCCTTGTTTGTATTTGGGTTGTGCTATTACTAAAAAAAATCCCCATATGTTGCACACTTAAAAAATCACACTGTATATCTGTAATCCATTCTTGTAAAATCCAGAATAAACGCGACTATCTCTTTGCCCGAATAAAGCAGTATTTTTGTGAAATAATGGGATGCTTTTTACATACTTTATCTTCAGATCTAACTTCCAGTTTAGCCGAAAGTGCTTATGCTTTAAATTTTTTTTTTAAAATTGACCTCACTACTGAGTAAACCGAAAGTGGAATCTGAACATAAAGGAGGTATGTAGCAATCATCCCATTAATTGTTAGTATTAACAAAAAATTTCGGGGTGATTCTTTTTTCGAAAACTTTTCTATCGACACTTTTTTTATTTTTTTTATTTGACGTTCAATTTTTTTCTGATTTCATTTTCAAATAGCCCAGAATAGCCCAATAATAAAGCTATGAAAGTGAAATTTTAATTGTAGTCTCGAGACTACGCGAGACTCTTGCCGAGTCTGGTCTCGTCTTGTCGAGACTTCAAGAGACGAGACCGAAAGCCAATCTTATCTCGAAAAGTCGACAGGTGACGAGACGAGACGAGACCAATCTCGAGTCTCGCGGCATCACTACCTTCTCTACTATAATTTATTAATCGGTAAAAATTATCGTGTATTCAAATTAACTATTGGCTACCCATTTGTAGGTACACTCAAATATTGGATACTGTAACCCCTTTTGTTAATGAATTGACAAGAGGCCCATAATATGCTCAGTTTGCTCAGAGAATAATTATTAGGGGTGAGTTGATAGTTTAATAAGTACAGAATGGCAAGGGCGCCACTGAATTTACAAAAATAATAATTAAATCACATTAAATATTGGGGTGTGAAAATTCAGAAAAACACTTTAAAAAAAGCATAATCAGCAAACGGTAATTGGTAATTCTGAAAAGGAAATAAATACGGCATATAACTCAACCAAATCTTGACACAGGTGAACCAATAAAACAATTAAGTAAGTTTCAAATTAGTGTATATTTCACAGTGAAGTTAAAAACCAAGAAATAAATAATGTTAAAAGATAAAACCAATTGATGGTAATACACTTTAAATTAAATCAATAAAAAGAGGTTAACTTCCAGTCAGATTTATCAAGCTTAAAAAAAAAATAATATTATAACAATATACCTCAATATACACTCACCGACATAAAATTCGGGACAACCAAAATTTAGATCAAATTTGATGTAGGATAACTTTTTCTTCCAAAATCGGATTTCAATCTTTTTTTTTTTCATAATGTAGATAATTGTTCTGGTTTTAATTAATTTTATTCAATTTTCAAAAATACAGTTTACATGTTGGAAATAACCAGGAAAATGAAAAAGTATATTTTTTCTCTTAACTTTATAACACTCTGTAGAGTAATTTTGCTGAGTAAGCTACAATGGATATGCTTTTCTGGAGAGTTTGATCCATTTTCAACATTTTGCTGTTTTATTGGTTTTGGTATCTTAATCGGTTTGGGAGATATGAATTTTTGATGTAAACATTACACTTTTTGATCAAGTCTAAATTTTTGAAATAAACCTTACACTTTTTGATCAAGTCTATTTTTAATTGAAGCATGAAAGTAAGGGTTTTAAAAGTTAGTACCTCGTGTTACCTCCTCTTGCTCTTATAACAGCTACTAAACGTCGATTCATTCCTCTAATCAGGGGGCGGATTACGAACTCTCGACTCGAACCGAAACCGCCATGGATTTCGAACGCATTCTGATGCATTTGCATGGAGTGCGTTCAAAATTCATGGTGGTTTCGGTTCGAATCGAGAGTTCGTAATCCGCCCCCAGGTTTTGGATATCCTGTTGTGGTATAGCAGCCCATTCTTCTTCCAAAGCATTTCGGAGCTGTTGGAGAGTGAACAACTATCCTCGGCGTTTCCTAATTCGTCTAACATGTCTCATCCCATACATGTTCTATAGAATTAATGCCAGGACTAAGAGCGGGCCAGCGCATAACGTTCATTCCAACCTCTTCTAAATATTGGGCCACTATTCTGGCAGTATAAGGTCGGGCATTGTCATGCATAAATTATGCAAAAACAACAACATGTTCTCCCCGAATTTCGTCAATGTACCTCGGGGCAAATAAATTTCCTCGGTCAATAAAAACAAGTTCTGTTTGAGCGTCAAACGAAAAACCGCCCCATACCATTATCGATCCACCACCAAAGCTAACCCTTTGGCTGAAAGTACATTGGGCGAATCTCTCCCCTTGTCATCTCCATACTCTTTCTCGTCCATCAGGAGACCTCAGGCAAAATCGAGACTCGTCTGAAAATAGAACTTGCCTCCACTCTTGAAGGTTCCAGTTAATGTGTTCTTGGGAAAAAAGAAGTCTATTAACTCGATGCTGTCTTTAGAGTTCTGGTCCAGTTGCCGGTCTTCTGGCCCGTAAATTGCCTTTAATTAAGTCTTCTTCTCACTGTTATTTCATTGACAGCAACTTGACGAACTCTTTCGAGGTCATTTCTTATCACTACTGCACTGGTATGCCGATCTCTTAAAGCCGAAAGTCTAATGAAGCGATCATCAAGGGCGGAAGTAGCGCAATTTCTTCCAGATCCAGGTCTTCTACTGTAATTTCCAGTCTCACTAAACCTTGCTACGGCTCTTTCCACGCTAGATCTTGTAGAACCTAGCATATCTGCCACACATTAACTGGAACCTTCAAGAGTGGAGGCAAGTTCTATTTTCAGACGAGTCTCGATTTTGCCTGAGGTCACCTGATGGACGAGAAAGAGTATGGAGACGATAATGGGAGAGATTCGCCCAATGTACTTTCAGCGAAAGGGTTAGCTTTAATGGTGGATCGATAATGGTATGGGGCGGTTTTTCGTTTGACGCTCGAACAGAACTGGTTTTTATTGACCGAAGATTACCTGCCCCAAGGTACATTGACGAAATTCTGGGAGAACATGTTGTTGTTTTTGCACAATTAATCGGCAACGAATTCGTTCTCATGCATGACAATGCCCGTCCACATACTGCCAGAATAGTGGCCCAATATTTAGAAGAGGTTGGAATAAACGTTATGCGCTGGCCCGCTCGTAGTCCTGACATTAGTCCCATAGAACATGTATGGGACATGTTAGGTAGACGAATTAGGAAATGCCGAGGACAGTTGTTCACTCTCCAACAGCTCCGAAATGCTTTGGAAGAAGAATGGGCTGCTATTCCACAACAGGATATCCAAAACCTGATTAGAGGGATGAATCGACAACGTTTAGTAGCTGTTATAAGAGCAAGAGGAAGTAACACGAAATACTAACTTTCAAAACCCCTACTTCCATGCTTCAATTAAAAATAGACTTGATCAAAAAGTCTAAGGTTTATTTCAAAACAGTCGCTGATGGTCATATCATTATCTTGAAATGAAAATATAAAAGATTTAAGTTTTCAGAAAACTAATTTTTAAAAAAATGGATTATTGATAAATATGGTCAGCTTCTGCTTTAAAAAAAAAAAAATCAATAAAATCAACTCACACCTGTATGAAATTATTATTATAAAAGTTATACTAAGGACCCAGGTTAAAAATTGATCAATCAAAACGGCTCTTCGGAAAAACTGCTCTTCCGGAAAAACAGCTCCGCGGAAAACCCGAAGTAATAGAGGCATTCCATAAACAACCATTATTTAAAAAAAAAACATTAAAAAATACTTACCATGAGGGGGTGCGAAATTCAAACTTGAATAAAACGGTAATCACGAGACTTTTGATTTAAATTTTCTCGATAATCAACAACTTTGCCTTGCGCAGCTTTGTTTCACCAAACTAATGCCTGATGACCGATAAGGTATTTCTCTTCACGAGAACGGTATTCACAGTTGACGAAGATGGTTGCCCTCCGGCCACAGTCGACCTTTCAGGACAACGGCAAGATTAAAAAGGGACGTATAAACGGACAATCTATACAGGCAGAGCTTTCTTTCAAAAAATAGCCAACGGAAAGCGTTGGTACTAAACCGGTACTTCAAATTTGAACGAAAATCTGCCCTCTAGTTTTATAATTGCCATTATTATTTTCGATAAAAATCTTCTTTTAAGTTGTTCTAATAAAGGCAATTTAATTTATAAAATAATACATGGAAATAAGAAAGACATTAGAATTAGTTGAATAATTATTATGTCATCAAGCGAAAAAAAATTGACTATTTAATCTGACTACATTCTAAAACCATCACGGAAGCAGATCTCTAAATTCATTTGAAACAATTGTTTTCCTGAAGTTACAATAGAATTTTCCGTGCCATAGCTTGGTTTGGGGTAGCGAAATAATTGAACTAAGCTCTGATTTGCTAGGGATTTTACGGTATAATCCGAAACTTAATTGCGCAAAAACTATAAAACTTGATAATTCTTGGCTTATAAGGCGGATATCTCGTTTCGGGTCCGAATAAATGACTCGACGCACGGATGTCTGTCTTATTTTTTTTTTATGGGTTGTTTAGCTTCGAATTTTTACCAAATCTGTAGCTTATTAATCATCCGAGGGAATGAAAACCTCTCGTAAAAATATGACGTAATAACTTATTGAAAACATGGCCATCAATTTCCACCAAGAGACTACTACAGTTTTTATTTTCACCCAGCGCAATGCAAACATAGGTAATCAATTGAAATTTAAGAGGCCAATCGATTAAAAATTGAAAACGAGGGAATATTTTATGATGTATGAGTAACTCAATGAATGAAGTTGCTGGTTCATTTATTCAACAAAATATTCGATTTATTTCCGCTTCAAGCTACCAAATAGGCAAGAGTAACTGAGTTAAAGTCAATGGAAACATCTCAAAAGGATTGCCTAATTACAAACAATTAAATAACATACGAAAAGTGACTTACGAGGGGTGTACACGAGAGAGCGTTTTTAAAAAACTTTATTTGACTAATACAATAGAACTGACTAAAATCTAGAAATTACTCCTTTTATAATATAAAAAATAAGCTGAATAGAACAATATAAATGCTGAATTGGAGTTCTCACGGGATATAACTCCTCCATCCTAAGTTAAAAGCATACCCAAAAAAGGTATGGTTTTATACAATGGAAAAAATAAAGAAAATGCTAAAAGAAAAATATGATTAAACTAAATAAGTAAAAGTAAAATTGTTAAATTACAATATCGTCTTCTAACGAGGCTTTTTGGGCACGTTTAAGGCGATGTTTCAAAAGTAATTTATAGACAGTAAAAATGCATAGTATTCCTAAAATACAATAAAGTAAAATTGTCCAAAAATTTATTTGGTGCATTTCCATTGGGTTGGATATTTCTTGTAGTCGTCTCTTCTGTTCTTGAAGCGTTGTGGCAATTTCTTTATTTTCTTTCAAGTTGATGGAGTTCAGGTCAAGTGTAGGTGGATTAAAAGCAAACTCCTTTGTTTGGTAATAATTCATCGATAAATTCAGTGTAGGCAAGGATACATCATCATAAGTCAAACGATTGGGCTTATAAGTTCGTAGAGTAATTGACTTTATTTGTAAGCTGCATTCATTTGTAGATTCGGCTAAGTAGGAACCATGAAGCGGTACGTTATCCTTAGAGTTTGGACAAGATGCTGAGACAATTAGTTGTTCGGGCGTGGTGATTATCCATTTTCCGTCCGTTATTTTAGTGATTTGGACATTTTGTAGTCTGATACGGAAAGGGTGGCAAGTAGTGGCATTGTCTTTGTATAAAATCAATTGGACTGCACATGGAGGCTCATGATCAATGTATGCAGTATGGGCTTCTTTACATAAGTACTCGTTGGGTAACAATTGGTTGCAGGTTTGGTCCATATAAGAGTACTTGTTGTTGCTAAGTGCAAGGTATGGTTTGTGTGGAAAGTTCATAAAGAAATCAGGATTTTGTTCGCTTGCAATTGGTATCGGAAATAGTTGATAATAGTGATAGACATCCAATTCGACCAAGGGTATTTCCAAGATGAAGGTGGTAATCAGGCCCTTTGAATAACATTTTTATTGAATCGGCTGTTACAAGGTGGAAATTCATTATCTAGTAAAAGATTTTTTTTTTAAAGTAAATTATTATACTTATTTATTTCCACTAATTTTTTGTTAAACTTTAACATGTTTCGCTACACTGTTGCTTCATCAGAAAGATGTAGACATAAAAGTGAAATTAAATGAATAACCTTTAATCTCGATTATTTTTTCGTAGTTCAATATGTTATCAATATTGGCTTCTAGTGGTAACACGTCATGCACTAATTGTTTTTTAAATCTAGAAATTTCTTTTATTAGCTCTAATGGAACGATTATTGAATTATGGAGCGTATTGATTTTAGCAAATGAGATAGCTACTTTCGTTTTTTCTAAGATATCGTAAATTATTTGATATAGCATTGATATCTGATTAATTATTATGTGAGTTTGGAAGTATTGATGGTTGTCAATAGCAGACAGAGCTACCTTTTTAATTGTGCTTTCAATTTGCAGTATTCTCGATTTTAGCGTTATTTGATTGGCAGATATATTAGAGATAACGTTTTGGAACTGTTCAATGGTTTTCCCTAATAAATTAATTTGATTAAATGGTAATTTTTTAAGTTTATCTTGATTTTCTTGTAATTGTCTAATTTGCCTATCGTAAAGATCTGCATCATCTTTATCGAGATTGCCATTAATGCATTTTATTAATGATCCTAAAGGATTCAAGATGCCACGTTTTTGTCTTTTTGAGTAACTACTCGTTGGGTCAATTTGCCTTATGTTGTTTTCTATGCGTTTTTCTAATGCCATTAAAGGCAGCAACGTGTTTTTATATTCTCGTTCATAGGATACATTATTTGTAATGTTTTTAATTAAACAGTTAGCGTTTTCTTTGATCAAATAAAATTCGTTAACAAGGGGTGTTAGGTCGTGAATTTGTATTAATGACCAATGATTGGAAACTATTTTGGCAGTTCCCAATTTATAAGGTAGGAGTCCGGGATATTTATTCAGGTTATGGAAGTTTATTCCTACTGCTCCGATGTTGTAGATTCGGATCCATCTGTAACAATAGATTTGATTTTTGTTTCGTTGATATGCAAAATCTCTTTTCGATTTGTTTTGGGGTTTTCAATTTCAATCTTGTTGTTTTCTAATATTTTTGTTAAGATGAATGGACCTGTGAATCTGTGGTGTAATTTACCACGTCGTTTGTCTTGTTTTTTATATATTTGACATCCTATGGTTAGTTTTTGATTATGTTTGTCAATAAGTTTTTGTTTCAAAATAAATTGAGTCTTGTTGTATTTTGTTATACAAAGCTTCCGTGTTAGTTTTGTGATTGTGGACATATTCGGTAAATATTTGTGCGGGCATAAGTTGCATAGGGTCACTAGAAGAAGTGTGTCCTAAAATAAATGTATAGGGAGTAAAGCCTGTGCTTGAATGGATTGTGCTATTATAAGTAATTACAGCATAGGACATTAGGGTTGATACGTCAGTATTTTTGTTTTTTTCTCGTAGTATTCTTATGTGTTCTATCAGGGTCGAGTTTAACCTTTCAACTGGCGAATTCAACTCGTGATGATTTGGAGTAGTAAAATGGATTTTAATATTATGTGTTTTTAATAAATCCTTAACTACTTCGTTCTTGAATTCTGTTCCATTATCGGATACAATCAATTTAGGGATACCGAAAAATGAAAAGAAATGGATTAGATTTTGGGATACTGAAATGGCTGTGCCAACGCAAGGAAGGGCTTGTCCATATTTGGAAAAGGACCTCGCACATTTCTTATGGAAAATGGCTTTCGGCTAAATTTTCTGAAAAATTGAGATAATGTAGTTCTCGATGTCCTGATTAAAAGTTCTCATGGGCACAACTCAATCCTATGATCAGTTTTTGAGTTATGAGTTATCAAAATTGGCTTTTTTAGACTTCGAGATATTGATTTTTTTTCAACATATTTGTTTATATTTCCTCCATTAGCACATTTAAATTAAAAGTTTCTACTCTAAGTTTTAGGCGTTTTGGTGTCTTCCTAAAATGTGGAATAAAAGTTCCTACAGCGTCTTACACAAAATGGAGGCGGCAAAGAAATGTCAATTTAGAAAAAGACGCAAATAACTAAATTCGATCAATTGTGTAGAATACAAAAACGAACGGCTAGATTTTGCCCTATTTTCAATATGTTGTTATCAAAAGTATACTTAAGAATACCTACTATAGTTTTGGATCCAGAATGTTATACCAGGTGTTCATTTTGTACCAGGGCCCCGGTGTAGATGGTAATTTTTTTTTTTTTTTTTTTTTTTTTTTTTTTTTTTTTTTACGAAAATTCAATTTTATTTATTCAAATGTTGATTTACAATGGGGTAAGGTTTGCCAAATTTTTCAATTTTATAATTACTTATGTTATAAAGATGTGAAGCATAATTTTCTAAAACAGTTTTGCAATTTTAATACCTTAATCCTTAATCCTAAACTTAATTTATTTATTATTTAATGAATATAAATTAAAAATTACAAAAATTGGATTCCATAATTTATTACATATAGCCCATTACATTGATGTGGTTCTGCAAGGCATACAGATGCCCGTGTGCAGAATTTAAGATACATTACTTGACTTAATTTCTAGTACAGTTCAGTAGATTTATAATATAACTAAGAATGATAACCAGTTAACATGGAGCTCCTACACAAAATGTGTCAGAAGTATAACAAATCAAATAAAAACAATAAAAAGCATTATTTATTTTTTATGCTACATCTAATAAATTTTTTCACATCCCTATCTTGTGTTAAAGAGGCTGGAACCCTGATAAAGTTGAAATTTTTAGGCCCCTGATAGTAGAAAGAATTCACCGATAGAGTTAATCTGACTAAAGGCTGAGTGAATTTTAGGAAAGCTCTGACATTTTGAGATATTGTTAAATTAAGTTGCTTTTTGTATTTGAAGACTGCATTGCAACAATGCAGTCTGTGTAATGCTTCCAGATTTAATATTTCAAGCCGCTCAAATAACGGCCCAGATGACTGCATGTGCCCAGCTCTCAATATAACGCGGATGAAACATTTTTGCACAATTAAAAGTGGTCGCTTATTACTTTTGTAAATGCCCCCCCCAGATACTTATTCCATAGGTTATTATAGATTGCACCAATGCCATATACATCATTCTTAATGTACTTTGGGGTACCACTCCACGAAGAAAATAAAATGTTGGTAGAATAGTATTCAGCTTTAGTTTTACATTAGAAATGTGAGTCTTCCAGGTCATATTTTGGTCAAGGGTCAACCCCAAGTATTTGATTGATTCAACCTGCTCAATTTCGCTACAGTTACAATGAGTAAGTTTACATTCCACACTGTGAAACCTAAGGGGAACATTAAAGCGAAACTGATTCCTGACAGAGAAGTTGACAAATTTGGTTTTTTTGACATTGACACAGAGCTTATTAATTGAAAACCACTCAGTCAGTATTTTCAGATCAAATTGTAATTTTTCTAGCAGATCTTCCCGGGTATCGGCCTTATAAAGTATTGCAGTATCGTCTGCGAATGCAGCGACCATGCCTTTCAGTGAGGAGTCGCACAGGTCGTTGATATATATAAGAAATAATGTTGGAGACAATACTGATCCCTGTGGGACTCCACACTGAAGTTCAA